ATAAGGATTAAAACTCTACTGTGGTCACTTTGGGAAAGCAAAACGCATCTTCTCTCACATATCCCAGCACAGTTTCTGTTCATGAGCTGAAAGGATGGCCATGTAACATCCTTCGGCAAATGGGTGACCCCAAATGTCCAGAACGTTCTTAGGAGCAAGGCAAACAAAAGTATATATCTCCCCCACAACAGGAAAAAGGCACTAACAGTGATCTTACTTACAAATGGCAGTGGTAGAGAGTAATTATAGATCAATGGGATAAAACCTGCAACCTATCACCTTTTTACCCAAAATATAGAAAAACTACCTATTAAGTTAAATTATTAAAGAGAACCCAAATGAGATGAGGGAAGGACGGGGGATTTTAGGAAGGGAGCTGGAAACCAAGCAGCTAAGAGATGATATTGAAGATACTGAGTAAGGACATAAAGGGCAGCATCCTGTGCAGAGAGCCAGAGGCCACCATCCTGACCAGCAAGCCAAAGCAGCAAGTGAGAGACAGAATGTGGGCTTTTGGAAACCAGGGATGAGGGTGGCTAGGAGGAGGAAGAAGGGCAAGCAGACTGAACAGGGAAGCAGCTTCCACACTGCAGTACATTAGGGCAACATGAGTTGGATATTTCTTTTTTCAGAAGTGGGTCCTAAGCCAGAATTTCTGGAATTCATCATCCCAGAGTCTCACTGTCCAAATAAAACAGTCATAATATCTTCTGGTGAAATAAATTTAATTAAGGAAAATGGCATAAATTAAAAATCTAGTTCCTCAGTGACACCAGCCACATCTCAAGTTTTTGTTTTTTTTTTTTTTTGTAACAACAGTGGCTAGTAGCTTGCTTACTGTCAGCACCAAATAGACATTTCTGGCACCACAGAAAGTTCTGTTGGACAGCCCCAAGTGGTTCCATCACTTTCTCCCAGCATTGTCACATACTAATTGTGACACTGGACAGATCAGATAATTCTCAGTGCCTCACTTTCCCCACCTATACAAAAGAATAGTTCTACTTCCTATTTAAGATATATTATCAGAGGCATTCCTTTATTTAATATATGAAGGTCACATGGAACCTGGCTCATTATAGAAGTAAATGTTAGCTAACATTACCTACTTTGGTTGCAAAATATATATTAAAGAATAACAATTGAAGATATTTGGGAAACAACACACATTTGCTATGTTAAGGTGTTTTGATGAACATACCCAAAGTATTCAGACTGAAAGTTTAAAATAAGTAATCATATAAAAAGTGGCCAGAGAAGAAAAAGGATTCAATTCAATGAACAACAATGGTATTACCAATCTGAGTTTCTGTGCAGATTTTTTCATGGATGTGTTTAATTCTCTTAAATCATTGTTCATTTTTGTACAGTATTTGATCTCTTCCCTCAGGTGTAGTCCCCATAATTCTCCCACCACCACATCATCTGTGACCCATCACCATAATCCCTTGTGATCTTTCCTTCCCTGGTTTGACCTCTCCCCGCTCCTTGCTATGTACCTCAGATCTATGGTTTACCTCCTGTGCACACTTCTTACTACCAGGTAATTGAAAGGAAGTAAAAGGACATGAGTGTGCGTGTGTGTTTGAGAGACAAAGGCAGAGAGAGTGAGAACTACTGATCACACACCACAGGTGTGCCAAAACACACAGTCTCCAGGAATGCTATTCCGGAAGCTTCTGGCAAACCCCAACTACATGTTTTAAATGGTAGAGACCGAACAATGGGCAAGTAAGTCCAGACACCTTGAGAAAAAGTAGAATTGAATGCCTTCCAAAGAAAATAATAATTAGGAGTAATAAAACCACAGATGGAAATTTTAACTACACCTGCTTAACCCAAAGTATTTCCGAACTTTATTTTTAAGACACAGATACATGTTAGTAATTAAAGAACTTATGACCTGGGTTTGTTATTTTAGAGAGATGAGATATTAAAAAATGGATGCAAGTTTTAAATTATGCTTAATGCAGCAGAACAAGTGCTATCATAATGTTAGAAGAAGGGTTACTTGAAATTTCTTACATCTGGTGAAATATACATTTTTTTTTAGCCTCAATGCAAAGAAAATACAAAGCCCTTTACCACGAGTATCAACAATTTGATTCAGTGTTTCTACTTTTTCATAACTGACTTTTAAAATATTTATGTTTATTATGCTTTCAAAATGTCAAATGCCACAGGTAACCACAATGTAAGCCTTAGTTAAAAAGGAAAGGGCTTTTGGACTCATTTATTTTCTTAAAAACAAGACAGCAGGCCCAATAAGGAGTTGCTTATGCTAAGTTCTATGACTGAACTGTGTCTTGTAGTTTTGGCAGTCCCAGTAATGGAGTAGTAAGCCAGCCAATCAATACTCAACTAATCTGTGTTAGTGAAATGCTATGTCTTTGATGGGTACAATTTGCTAGTGTGGCTTCCCTGTTCCTTCTCCATTCACCCTATACAATCTTTCAATTTGTAATGTTTCATAGAATTCCTGTCTATCTGATAGATGGAATATTACCCAATCACTGAAGAAAGTGAGTAAGATATTTAAAATGTACTCAACTGAATTTTAAGTTTCATTAAAAATTACCTGTTTTGGACATACAGATAGTAGTCTAAGTAAAGACAAATTATATAGTTTGCTGACTTTTTTAATAAAAAGTTTAGTCCTAAAAAAAACAAATTTCCTTTGTTATGTAAAGTTTAGAAATCATAATCAACCATTTAGAGGTATTTGTTATTGTGATTTGTCTTCTTTCAATACAGTCAGAACTTACTTTTCTCTCCTATGAAAGTTATGTGTGTATCAATATGACTTAACAAAGACAGATTGGAAAGAAGAAACTCTAAATTCAAGATAGGCAGTTTAGAAACTTCTTGCCCCAAAGTAATTTCTTTACCAGAATGTAGTATGTACATTTGTGCCACTTGTGCCTCTGAAAGTCTTAAGAATATAATTTTTCAGTTTACATTTACCTTTATTCTTATTCTTCCTCAATTTGTCCTGATTCTTTTCTTTTCATCAAGAAAATGGTAGTAAATATTGAAACAGAAATATTAATAAATTAAAAAGTACAGAGAGAATTATTCAGATTGCTTCTCATTGGTCACTTCCACTGTACTAGGACTCTCTACTTAGAAAATTGCTATCTCGGGAGAAGTATTTTTGGATGTTCATGGGAAATTATGAAATATAGAAACTTATCAGATAACCACAAAGATGGATTTTTTTTAAATAAGAAAATGTTAGAGTTGATAAGACCTTCCTCTTCTGTTCTCATTCTCCAGAGATTATCTTGATGTTACAATATTCTTTAGACATAAAGGATGAAACTTGGGGGCAATATCTTAGCAGTGAATTACTCATTTCAGAAATTGGGATGTTTCAACCAGATTATGACAAAAATTTGGGAAAAGCCTTTTGAGGGGCAGCACCATGCTCTATTTTCCTTTTGGGCATTACCACATTTTTACTACTCTGTTCACTGACCTTAAATGTGCACATCTGCTAAAAAAAAAAAAGATCCTTTACACAATTGAACAAAACTTATGTGTGATAATGCATGTTAGACAGTTAACAGGGACTTAAAAATATCAGCTGAGATGCTACCATGCAGAGTGCAAAGATCAGTCAAGCCTCAGTCCAAATGTGAAAACACAGGATCCTGAGGCTCCCCCTTACTTAACACAACAAGAAAAAGGCCATCCACCATGAGTTACTTGTGGAATACATAATTATTTATTTCCTGCTGTTTGTAGGCCATTGATCAAAAATCTATGAATGACAACTCAACTTTAATAACAGCAGTCTGTAGAGGAAAAAGACTTTTAAGTCACTTTAAATTAAAAAAAAAAACACACAACTTTTGTTCCTTTCTAAATGGAAAATTTTGATGCTTTATTTCCAACAAAACCATGCATCAATTCTCTACAATAACATCTCCAAAGTTCAGAAAATAAAACAAATGAATATACAGCTCAGGACATGCTCACAGAAAAACACCCCAGGACATCCAATATTCTGAAATATGCCCAACTAGAATTCACAGTTTCTCAACAAATAATGGTTAAAATAAATATTAACCATTTAAAGTACTACTGAGAGTACCATACACTCAACATGGATAGATCTATAATAACACATGCATTAGCAAAAGAATCTTCAAAACATTGCTTTCAAAAGAAAGCTGCTTCCTTGGAGCAGGTTACTTAAGATGCTTGATGGCCTCTACTTCTTAGTCAGTGCTTACATTCATTTGAAGAAAAAGAAGTCCCAATAAGTGATAGCATTACCATTTTCTGTTATCAGTGCTTCATTTCAAATATTTTCAGTAGAATACTGATTATTTTTAATTGATACAAACAAGCCTTATTAATTCTATTCTCTTGGGGGCCTCTCTGGTGGCACAAGACTAAGTCTTAGCACTATGAAGCTACCTGAAACTATCAGGGTACCCGAAACTATCCGGGTAGCTGCAGCAAGAGTTTGACCCCTGGCCAGGGAGCTGACCTACAAGGCACAGCAGATCTCTCCTGTCTCACCAGCTGTTCCCCCTCAGCAGCGTATTTCAATAGCTATGCCTGTTCTGTTCCCCACTCTGTCTCTGGTGCATCCTCTTATCCCCCCTCTACCTCTGGCCTGCACCCCTTGTATGCATAAATAAATTTTTTAAAATAGTTCTATTCTCTCACTGAAATACAAACACAGTTACATAAATCAAGGACATTTATTGAATTCTGATTCTTGGAACCTATTCCTTTAATCTTAGTCAGACACATGGATCAAAAATATTGTAAAGGGAATTGTGTAATATTTGGCTAAAGTAACATACTGAACCGAGTCATGTTTTGTTCCTTTTAACTGAAGACTTTGATGCTTTATTTAGAACAAAGTGATGTATCAATTCTCTACAACTAATAACAACTTGGAAAGTCATTACTAATTTAGTAGTAATTCTAGTTTAGCTAAAAAGAACAGAACACTACAACTTTACTATGCAACCAATATCTACCTTAGATAACTCCATGCCTGGCCCACATTGCTTGCAGAGAACACAGTTTCCAGATCGATCCCTGAATTCTTGTTGTCTACAGTCTCCTGTTTCACAAATTCCTTTACATACCTGGAAAAAAAATGTTTCACAAAATGTTATCTTAAATTATTTTAGAAAAGAGCCATGTCATTTATATTATGTACAGATTAATCCAAAGTGAGGTCAACTTAATTTTCATTTTTAGGGGAAACACTTGTTCTAAATAAGTCAATGGAAAAAATAAATTAGCTGGATTTTCCTCTGTATTCCCTGTATGTGGCTCCCCCCACCTTTTGGCGGGGAGGGTAGAGGGTGGATTATTCACTATCTTCCTTGATATTTCCCTGAGTATCTGAGGTAAAAAATGACTCAGAAATTGCTCTCTTTTCTAAGTAAGAGGATATACAAAAGAACAGTCATGGTGAAATCCCAGATTCTTTTTCAATCTGAAAATTTCAGAATTCAGAACTTTTTTTGATCTTCAATAAATATATATATATATATATATATATGAATTAATAAAACTCTTAATGGCAGTTGTGGCCAAACTCTTTGAAAAGTAAAAGTGCTATGTAAATATGAATTTATTCTTATTGATTACTATTTATCAAAGAAGATTTTTAGTACTATCTCCAGTATAAATAGCTCTTTTTAATATTTGCAGATCATGATTACAGTTCCAGACTAAATAAGTTCAATTCTTTTTGAAATGTCATATATATTTTTTGAGAAGCTATCAAACATTATAGTTCTCCATGTATGTTTATTGCTTTCTCGACTGAGAAGGATACAAGTAACTATTAAAAAAATAACTTTTAAAAATCAACTCTATATTCTTCACAAACCATGTTAAGTCACAATCCCATTATAGTCTAGAATGTCAGTCAAGAGACATACCTGTCATGCCTGTGAAAATGTTACAAGACTAATACCTAGCACTGTGATTTTATCATTTCATTTACAGTTAAGTAAGATAATTCAGCAGTCATCAGTAGCATTTTTGTTTGTTAATTATTGATAAGTGCAGCAATAATAAAATGTAACTTGAAAAAAATTTTTAATGTGGGATAAAAGATAGAAAATAGTTTTAGTACTACTCATATGAATTATTTTATCACATTCTTATGAAAATAAGGAAAAGGATTTGACTTACCAAATACATTAGTAAAACTACAATGGTGAAAAATACTTTCTCCTGTTCTTTTAATACTTTTAAAGCCATCATTCTTATTAAATGTATTTACTGTTGAGGTGTCCTAAAAGATAAGAAGATATAGTTAACATTAATAACATTTAATACCTTATACTTGGTAAAATCATTTATTTTAAAAGGAATCATATTTGAAAAAGATACAATATAACAGTAGTATATATTCTTTAAAAAGTTTTGGTGGTAAGAATGGAAGCTTGTGTTCCTATATATCATCATCATATGTAAAACTCCTACTGGCTCTAAATTTCCATGCTTTATTTTCTAATCAAATCTCTGTCAATATGCTTCATCTAGTGGAGAACAGTATTTAAATAGAGGTGAGACTGAGCTGTGCCAAAGGGGTAATGGTGATAAAATAATAAGCACTAAGCACTATGTACCATTCCTATTTCAGCTAATCCTTACTATTTCATTGAATCCTTACAACTACTTTAGAAGGTAGATAGTATCATTATCCCCATTTCAGTATGCAGAAGCTGAGGCCCAAAGAGTGCTGAATGATTACTTGTCCAACATTGCTATTCAGGTAGAGCTGGATGCTAACCCAGGAGGTTGGCTTCATTGTCACTATGTCCCTTACACCCTGAAAAACAATCTTCTCTGTTCAATAAACGTGGACCTTCAGCTCCACTAAGAAGCAGACACAGCTAGCATTTGTCATGTGTAGATTCTTTCCCAAACTACTACAGGGCAAAGATCTAATAGCAGAAAAGTTAGCATTCATGTAAGAACATTTAAAAATATTAACAAGTGTTGAAATTGGAAACATCAGTCTAACATTTCCATAAGGTTAGGTCCAGCAATACCACTTTTATATGTTTATTTGAATGATATGAAAACACTAACACAAAAAAGATATATATATATATACACCCTTATATATTCAGAGCAACATTATTCACAAGAGTCAAGTCATGGAACCAACCTAAATGCCCATCAATTGGTGACTGCTTAATTTCAACATATATACTCACTAGAATGAGATTCAGCTAGAATGCTATTTAGCTATTGAAAAAAATATGAAATCATGTTTTCTGTGGCAATATGGATGCAGTTTGAAGTGATTATGCTAAGTGAAATAAGTAACAAGTAAAAGACAATTACTGATAGTTTCAGTCATAATATAAGAGAAATAACCTAAGAAAACAAGCTGGGAATAAAACTTGACTCAAAAGACGATAAACAGAACTTCTTTATCTTGATCAGAAAGGCTCTAACATATAAAGACACATTTGGTTGTTTGCTTGATTATAGAGATTCATTCAATGTCAAGAGAAGGAATTTTTTTTTAAGATGTATTTATTTATGCATACAGAACTGGGGGACAGGACAGAGTTGCAGGGGCAGTGAGAGGATTCACCAGAGAGAGCGGGGAGCAGAACAGGCCAACTGAGGAAGTACACTGCTGAGGGGAGCAGTGGGTGGGTCAGGAGAGGTCTGCCTCACCAAGTGGATCACCTCTGGGGCGGGGATCGAACTCATGCAGAAGTGGCTTTAGCTTCTTAATGCTGTGCTTTAACTAGCTGCACCACCAAGGAGGGCCCAAGAAGAAATTTGTTTTTAAAAAGTGAAGACTCATGCTCTCCTTGGTGGTGCAATGGGTTAAAGCACCACATTACAAAGCTCTACTAAGCCACGAGTTAGATCCCCAGCCAGGGAGCTGACCCACATGGTGCGGCAGACCTCTCCTGACAGCCTGCTGCTCCCCTCAGCGGTGTGTTTCAGTAGATCTGCCTGTTGTGCTCTCCACTCTGTCTCTGGTGAATCCTCTATCCCCGGCCCCCCACTCCCCCACAAACATCCAGCCTGTACCCCAGTTCTGTAAGCATAAATAAATATAAATCTTTAAAAAAAAAAAAAAGTGAAGACTCATCAGGTGGAGAACAATGGTCTAGTTTGCCTTTAAGTGGAACAGTGGCTCCCAGCTGATAATCTGATTGCTTCAAAAGAAGCCAGAGCACAGAACCAGAGCCACACCAAAAAGCTCAAGAAAAGTGGTAAGATGTCACAAGCAGAACAGAGCAGGTAACTGGTCAAGCAGCCAATCAGTGAATTTAATCAGATCTGTAGATGTGTAATCTAGATGGTCCTTATAGATATATCTGAGCAGATCCACTAACAGGGCAATGAAAAATCATTTTCACATTTGTTGAAAAAATAACCCAATTGGAGTGAATTCAATTTCCTGGTTATTTTTCTCTTTCCAACTTCTTAATTATAAGTTTTCCCATCCTCTTATGTATCTCAAAATCATCTAGCAATTATGTAGCCATACAGCTTGTGTAGCTACAAGATTGGGGTCAGCAGGAAAGTATGGTTCATGTTATCTATTTCTTGATATGGTGCTACATTTTAAAAAAAAAAGCTAGTTTTTAAAGTAAAAAACATGAAATCTATATGGTATTAAATTAATATGGAAAAGGAATAGATACCAATGCATTTACATAAATTATGAGAAATAGAGATTAATAGTGTCAGAGCATATCGATAGAGTTGAGACACCAGTCTGGACAGAATACTCTATTGAGACTCTATGTTACTGACTGAGGAAGGACACCAAATGCTGGAGCAATCATTGACATGTACATAAGGTTAGGAGTCAAGGCAATATGATTTTGAGTTTACAGAATATGTCTAATGAAAAATAACTGACAGCAAAAATTTAAGGGAACACGTTAGACATATTTTTTTAATGGTGATGAGATAAAGACTGTAATTACATTAGGAAATAAAATAAAATCAAAATTATATGGCTTTTATATAGTGAGAGTTTTTTTTTTAATGACAAGGTAGAAAAAAACATAATGCAACTATCGGTATGTGTGATGGGCTGACTTGTATTATTCTCCCTACATATATGCTAAGTTAATTTGTTCACATGAGAAATATAAGAGTAGCATTACCATAACTAAATTTCCAGGGGTGCAGGTGGGCTAATTCCCAGATACCATTTCCTAAAATCCTTAGCCTAGAGGCTCACACAGTGTTACCACATGGCCTGCCTGTCTTGTCACTGCTCACTCCTCTCTGCTCACTCCTCTTGTCACTGCTCACTGGCCATCCATTTCAGTGATACACAGATATCACATTTCTCCTGAACACCAGTGATCTTGTCCTCTTCCACTGGATCTGGAGAGTCTCCTACTGAATGTCTCCAATGACCAGCTCACTCACACTGCCGACATGCTGTCCACAAACAAGGCAGTTGCTCCCTATGGTTCTATAAGTCTTTCTATATTTGAGTACAGTATTCTTTGCAATATGCTTATTGCTATTATCAGTTTTACTCATCAGACTACTGATGCTCCTTTAAAATAGGGACCAGTCCTTTATTACTCTTTGGATTTCCAGTGTCAAGAATAGTCCCTGGCACATAGTGTTTGATGAATTAAATAGAGAAAAAAAGCACAAAATAATGAAATATATATTGTGGAAAACAAGTGAAATTTGGTTGCATGTAACAGATTTAGTTCTTCTCTAGTAAATAGAATTCTATGTTATAAACATATCACTTATCCATCCATCCATCCAAGTGTGTCTATGTCTACATCTGTCTATCCATATATCTCTTTACATGTTCAAGACATTACTGCTTTAGAAGAGGAGATAAGATTAATAATAGTGGTGCATTTTTTAAAAAATTCAATTTACTTAGAAAATACAAGCATTTCTTTACCAATTTCTTACATTGGGAGTTGGAAATTGAAACATGCCATTGAAATATGCTACTTGTTTTCTATGACTCCTCTTTTACCTTAACTTTTTATACCAAAGACTGGGAAATCATTTAGATTGTCCTGACAGTTGTCAAGATGAACTAAAATCCAGGTTTCAAGAGTTTTCTGCATATAAATCTGATATGTGTACAAATAGCCTAGGTCTTTCTGGGAATGTCAGGGGAAAGTGGCAATCGAATATCTGAGTTTTCAGTCCCATTTCTTAGCAATGTCACTTTGAATTCACATATTCAGAGAGACAAAAATAGAACCTGTTTCATGGACATGCAGTGGGATGAACTGAGATAACACACATAGCATTTAGTCTAGAACAGAGTGAGAGATTCATTGATCATGGTTGCTGATACTGTTATTGTTGCTTTGCTGCCATGAACACCACTTTTTAGCTGTATGAACTTAAACAAGTTATGGAACCCACATCTCAGTTTCCCAACTCTAAATATGGCACAATGACAATAACTACCTCCTAATATTGCTGTGAGAAATAGATGAGTTTAACAGCTGTAGAGAAAGCACTTACAGGAGTGTTAATTGATATAAACTGTTTCTGGCTCCTAGCAAGTGCTCCTTAAGTGTTAGCTATTATTGTTGTTCTTGTTAATGGTATTATTGTTGAGGATCAAATGATCCATTGTGTGTAACAGTCCTTGAAAGTCTAACCTGTTAGACAAATGGAAGACATGTTTTCAGACAGTCACAATCAAGGGGCAGGTCACATCTTAGACCTATTTCCCTACAGAAGGCATTCAAAGACTAACTGATTCAGAGTTTGAGTTAAGCAATAATAATGTCAAGAACTTTGTTCAAGATTTATAAAGAGTATAACCTTTGTTCCTGAATACCATGCTGTAAGGCAGATATTTATCTCCACAGCAAGAAGAGAAAGAAAAGTGAGAATCTAAGGACACATGTCATTTAAGCATTAGAAACCAAATGAAGTTCATATCCACTGACTCTTTAACCAGGCTCTCAACCATTCTGTGAGGCTGACTCTGGGTTGTTACCTATAACCCTGCAGTGGCCATCACCTCTTGGTAGAGATGGATTACACCCACAAAACTGACTCACCAAGGCAAAATTAAATAAGAAAACAATACATTGAATTGTTTATCCATTTGGTCAACACAGCTTGATTCAGCAATTATCAGAAGCCTGCAGGGAGACAGTGTGAGTGAGTGTGTGTGTGTGTGTGTGTGTGTGTGTATGTGTGAGGGGGGGGGGACGACGCCACAGATGCACTTGCAGAGAGTGAGGCTTAGCAGAACTGGTGAGATCTCCTAAACACCTTTTAATATAGCCTGGCACG